AATCATTGTTACTCGTTACTGTGATAATGATGACGATAATGGAAACGATAAGAATGTGAATGAATAACCTCCATAAAATAGATTCGTTTGCGTTTGATGCGCTTTGAAGTCCCACAGAGCAAGCGCCAACACAGCCGCGATAATAGCAGCCGATAGGAAGAGACCAGCCACTGTAAGTGTTCCCGATCTGAGGCTTGTCATACCACCGATAAAGCCGATTCTATTGTTGACAGTTATCCACGCTGATTCTCAATCTGAATCAGTTTATCAAATCATCTGATTTCTTTCTCTCATTACAGGCAGAAAACACCAGCGCAGTCACTTAATACGACCATATGTGGATGTACTGATGAGAGGATAGTTTTGGGTTCATCGTCGAACATAAGCGTCGGGTATTGCGATTCAATCATACGATAACTTCAAATTGGATTCACACCGAAAGGATAGAAAATGACGAGTCTTCTCGAATTTCAAGAGTTATTTAGGCGATTTTTCAAACTCACTAACGAATAGTAATCAACAAACAATAATGAATTCAATCCATTAAAATTCCCATCGAGTTTCTCACAGAGTGTGAAAAGAGTTATTGGCCGACCAAATAAATCAATCTAACGGTGTGCGAAATTTATTCAAATCCTTCAAAAGTTTTGTTCAGAAAAAAATTTGCATCAATAGGGATTAAAATTTGAGATATTGGCGTATTGGCGATATAATAATCTATTTTTTACATATCTAAACGAAATTCATCTCATGAACAAACTTCATGAAGAGTTTGTTCGATAGATATTGAGAATGCTCTAATGGCACATCCTGAAATTTGAAGATGTTGACTGATAATTATGATTCTAAGTGATGAATTGCAATGGGTGAATTAATCGAAAGGAATGAGTTAATTGGCCAAGTGAAATTCGATTGTAATTTGATTCGATTTAGATCAAATTAACGCATCCACATATTCCACTTCAATTGGGATGCAAACAGATCGATCGAATAGAATCAGTTCAATGGGAATTTCCTCCAAAACAACGAACCAACCGCATACAACCTGTTATAATTTAAGTAAGTGATTTTATATCGTTTCAGCTTGAATGTTCGAAAAGTTTTTTTCGAGAATATAATTCTCAGGAAAAAAGTTTGTCAACAAGTTTAGGCAACGAAAAAGTGGGATTCTTTACGTATCTGAACAAACTTCATTCCACTCACTCACTCACAAAATTCTCTCGTTCAATTTGAGTCATTCTCAGTGAAAGCAAATTCGATTTCTAGCTCAATCCATCCACTCAATACAAAGTCTAACGAACAATCAACCTCGTCAACTTTTTTACACAACACCGATCAACCTTAATCGAAATACTCTCAGTTCCAACGAAACAATGTAATCAACAAACCTAAACCAACCTCAACAATAACACCAAACAAAAAACAAAACATTTTCTACGAAATACACAAAGAACAAGTGAATAAATCAAGAAATGAATAAATGAACGAATCTATTCAGTGCTCCAGCGAAAACAAAATTCTCAACTTTTAGTGAATAGCACAAAAAAGTGGCAACCTCGTGTGGATATGAACAAACTAAATTGGCTCGTTTCTATCGCGACTGAGAAATTTGATTAAGGAGAATACAGCAATATTGAATTATGCTCATTATTTTCACTATCATTATTTCTCATGAAATGGAAGAGATGAACGAAATGTGACTATATGAATATAACCAGATCCATAAAATGAATATAACCAGATCCAAATATTATCCATGACATCAATATAAAATATAATTAAACGAGCAGGTGCTCCTAATTGACCGTCATTATCGCCGAATAATAATTTTATTAAGAACAGTCTGGCTTAGAACAGATCGCTATTGTTAATTTGATTGTACNCTGCCTGCCTGCCTTCCCATCGTCCTATTTATTCGCTGCACAATAATCAACAACCATTCATTTGCAATTATCATATTGATCTGGATTTCAGCTGTGTCATGTCATCTTTCATCCATCCGTACTCGGAGATCACACTTAATGACCGAAAATTTCATGGTATCATCTTATGAGACATTTGGCTGGTCCAGTCAGAAAATATGAATGTTTTTGATAGGAAATCTTACTTTTTCATGATCAAGTTTCACAGCTTGATCGAGCACATCATCACCAAGCGTTTTGCTCTACACATCAAATGTGTTATGTTCAGTTCACTTCTATGTTTACATCTCATCAACCGTTCCGCAGTCTTATCATAAAATCCACATATCAATCATGTTTTTTTGCTATCCACTAATTACATGTTAACAACGGTGATAAATTTCTTTCGTCTGCGATGTCGACAAAAGTTGCATCAAATGTCCACAATATATTCGCAACAACCATCAAAAACTTAATGTTGCCTCACATGTTTTGAATTGACCTTTCTCAATCATGAAACAATGTCAACGTACTCAATTCGGTTTGTTCGTCGTTAAATTTAGTGTCATTTTGAAGGGAAATCTGAAGGATAATCAGCAACGATTTTCACTTTTTAATTAAACATTGGGCACTGAGAAACATTCGATGAATTCGGTTGTATTGTGAACTCTTCTTATTATTTGCGATTCCAGCGAATCATACGAATATGATCGGAGAATCGATGATTTCGATGGCGATAT